AATGCTCCAAACACTCGAACTGCATACAAGTGAATGCTCCAAACTCCCGAACGGCATACAAGGGAATAAGGTAGCACTCCAAATACACGAACAGGAACCATACGAATTGCTGCTACCAGACGAACAGGAAAAACTCCCAAGCGGCTTACACTCCTGGCAATCAGTCCTTAGCAGCATACAGTAAATCCCCCCAAAGACGAGACAAGGCTCCGTGTTGAGGGTCAAGCAGTGGTCTGTTGTGCTGGCACACCCAGCCTGGTTTTTATTACAGTCTTGCAAATACAGGACCGTCCACAGGGAGGTATAAAATATCCAGTAACATATTAGTTACAACCCACAGATTCCCTCCCCCTTATCCTGAGAGGTAACCCAATACACATACCTTTTACCACAACGCATCCTGGCTTCCTCTCCTCTGCCCTGGAGATAAGTGAGAAGTAATTCAATTATCTCCCAGGACAGGGACAAGACTCCATTATGCACATGGTGACACAAAGATAGTAAAACACTTTAAAATACATAAAGTCACATTTGTTACATAACACACAGACATTTAACATATCCCCAGATAGCTCAGGTCTGAGCGCACATTATTAAGCGAATGGCGCTCAGACCACACAAATACAGTTTAATCGCCATGGAGCCAAAGTCTTTACAGTCAGTTTCATACGAATGGGCTCCATGGGATTCCTATCTGGGGTATAACACATTCAAACAAATCTACCGAACCCCAGGCAGAAAAACACGAATGAAGCTTTTCTGCAGGTAAAAAAGATGTCTTTTAACAGGGGGCCATAGTCCAAAGGTAGCAGGCGAGCAACCAGGCTTCTCCAATGCAATGTGGCGAGATTGGTCTCGTCACATCTCTCCCCTTTTCCAAACAGACTAACAGGGTATCTGACCTCCTGCCGGTCAGTGCCCTTGTTAGTCCAGCAGCCCACCCACAAAACATAATCAGCAGCACAGCCCACCCACAATAAATGGTTACTACACCTGGGTAAAGGAGAAGCTTGTCCATGTCCAGGTGCCTCACCACGGCTGTGCTGGGTATGGGTACGCTGACTGGGTGGGTTGCTGCGTGGGCAGAGACCAGCGGCACTCTGCCCTGTTGCCAGCGCTACTGGGAGGGTAGCCTGGTTGAAGCCTGGATGTTGGAGGGGGAGACCGACTGTCTCCCCTTTAACTACACCACTCTGCTGCTGGAGACCGACTGTCTCCCCTTTAGACACACAGCTCTGCTGCTGGAGACCGACTGTCTCCCCTTTAGACACACAGCTCTGCTGCTGGAGGCCGACTGTCTCCCCTTTTGTTGCACAGCTCTGCTGCCGGAGGGGGAGACCGACTGTCTCCCCTTTGGATACTCTAAGCTGTCGCTGGGGAGAGGGGGTAACAGGCTCCTCTCCCGATAGAACACTCTGCCGCTGGGGAAATGAGACTGAGCTCTCTATTCCCTGCCCATTAATGATCCGCCGCTGGGGAGAGGTGGTAGCAAGTTCCTCTCCCATACATACTTCCAGCCTCCGTGGAGGGAGACCGACTGTCTCCCCTCCCAATACAGAGTCCTGCTGCTGGAGAAAGGAGACTGGGCTCTCTATTCCCTGCTGGATACTCTGCCGCTGGGGACTGGAGACTGGAGACTGGGCTCCCAATTCTCGACACATCACACTGCCGCTGGGGAATGGAGACTGGGCTCCCAATTCCCAAAAAATCACGCTGCCGCTGGGGAGTGGAGACTGGGCTCCCAATTCCCGGCACATCACACTGCCGCTGGGGAATGGAGACTGGGCTCCCAATTCCCGGCACATCACTCGGCCGCTGGGGAATGGAGACTGGGCTCCCAATTCCCAAAAAATCACGCTGCTGCTGGGGGGCAAGAACAACTACCTCTGCCCCCTGTAGCTCAGCCTGCCGCTGGGGAGGGAGGACGCTGCTCTCCTCTCCCTGCACTTTACACTGCCTTCCTGGCATATCACTCTGCTGCTGGGGGGCAGGAACAACTACCTCTGCCCCCTGTAGCTCAGCCTGCCGCTGGGGAGGGAGGACACTGCTCTCCTCTCCCTGCACCTCACACTGCCTTCCCGGCATATCACTCTGCTGCTGGGGGGCAGGAACAACTACCTCTGCCCCCTGTAACTCAGCCTGCCGCTGGGGAGGGAGGACGCTGCTCTCCTCTCCCTGCACTTTACACTGCCGCTGGGGAATGGAGACTGGGCTCCCAATTCCCGGCATATCACACTGCCGCTGAGGAATGGAGACTGGGCTCCCAATTCCCTGCATATCACACTGCCGCTGGGGAGAGGAGACTGGGCTCTCTCTGTCCCGCAACTGTAGCTGCCGGTGGAGGTCCACCCACCGTGGCAGCTGACCGTCACCCTCTGCCCGGTACAGCAGAGTCTTGAATACTAGACTCCTCATGAACTTCACGGATTTCTCAGCTGGATTAGGCCCGTAGAAGTTCAGCCGCAACCACATCATACGGTCAAATTCCTGTACAGAGTATCTGTACTCCACTGCTGGTTTGTCAGGGTACCTTTGGTGTCTACCTCGGAGGAGGTTAGACACCTAGACGTCCATCCTCCCAGGGGGGCTGACTCACCCGATCCTTGCACTCCTCCCGGTCGTTTACACGCCGGCCGCGATAGCTCCGCCTCCTTTTATGACGCGGCGCTCAGTAGCCGACGTCATGACGGCAATCACGCTCCGACCCGTCAATCACGGCAACCAAGTGCCGAACAACCAATCAGGACCCGTTGGGGGCGGAGTCAACAGTTAAAGAGCCAAGGTATAAAAAAGGGTTCTGTGGAATGATTCATTGCCCTGTCGTGGTTCTAGCTAGTCTGGTCACTCAGTGCACTTTCCTCTATTGTCTTTTGGTTCCTGACTCGGCTTGTATTTTTGACCCTGCTTTCCTCTCTTGTCCTTTTGACTCGGCTTGTCTCTCGCTTACCTGATCTCTCGTTCCCTCGACCTCGGCTTGTCTCTGACTATTCTTTTGCTCTCTCCTTACGTTAGTCCGGCCATTCTAAGGTCCGTTATACGTACCTATCCCCTGTTTGTATTCTGCGTGTTGGATCCCTGTCACGATCCTGACATTACGACAGGGCCAATGGATCCTGCAGGTACAAACTCTCAGGTCGGTTCTCCTGACTCTAGATTTGAGGCCATGGATCATAGAATGGACCAGATGGCTCTAGCTCTACAAGCATTGCTATCTCGTCCTAGTAGTCACTCAGAGGAGATGCGTACCCCATCTATCTCTCCTATAAGTACAGGCCTAGAGGTAGCCACAGTGGCTACTTCTTCCCGTGTTACGTCCCCGTCACGCTATGGCGGCGCTCCTGACACTTGTCGAGGGTTTTTAAACCAGATAGGTATTCATTTTGAATTACAACCCCACGCCTACCCTACTGACAGGGCAAAGGTTGGATTTATAATTACCTTGCTCATTGACAAGGCACTTAGATGGGCTAACCCCCTGTGGGAAAATGATAACCCGTTAGTTTATAATTATAATGCTTTTGTCGCTGCATTTAGGAGAGCTTTTGACCCTCCAGGAAGAAAGGCCAATGCAGCTAGACTACTGTTACGTCTTAGACAGTATAACCGAACCCTAGTGGATTATGCCTTGGAGTTCAGATCCTTGGCGGCAGAGGTCAAGTGGAATGAACAGGCTTATATGGACGTATTTATGAACGGGTTATCTGATGAGATTTTAGATGAGGTGGCCAAAAGAGATCTTCCTGAAAATTTGGAGGATCTGATTTCATTTATTTCCCGAATAGATGAACGTATGAGACAGAGGCAGAATATTCGGGATAGAACCCGCAGATCCTCCATAAGACTAGCTCCCTCATTTCAGACTTCTGATTCTACTACTTTAGCTCTCCCAGAACCTATGCAAATAGGTAATACTCGACTCTCAGAGGAGGAAAGACAGTACAGGAGAAGGGAGGGTCTTTGTATGTATTGCGGAATTAGAGGTCACCTACGCCTAAATTGCCCTAACCGGCTGGGAAACGCTCGCACCTAAGTTTCTCAAGAGGACAGGCCTTGGGTGTTTCTATCTTGTCCTCTATTTATGATTATAAAGATCATAGGCTTCTGATACCTGTTTCTTTAGCTTGGGAAAAGGGAGTACTTAATGCTATGGCTTTGATAGATTCCGGAGCAGCTGAAAGCTCTATTGACCAAGCCTTTGTCACTAACCATTCTATCCCATCTCAGCTAAGGGATACACCCTTGGCCGTTGAGGCCATAGATGGTAGACCATTATCTGAACCTGTTATTTTTCGTGAAACCATACCAACTAAGTTAACCACTGGTATCCTTCACGAGGAAAGAATATCCCTCATGCTGATCTCATCTCCTTCAGTTCCTATAGTCTTGGGGTATCCCTGGCTTAAGAAGCATAACCCTATCATTGACTGGGAACTGGGTGAGATAGTCTCCTGGGGTCAGGGTTGCCAGAAAGGATGTGTGCAGAAAGTCTCACCAATTTGCAGGGTTGACGCCCCGGTTAACTCTTCCCAACCTACAGATTTACAGATACCATCACAGTACCAGGATTTAAAGGCAGTCTTTGACAAAAAGAGGGCTGATACTTTACCTCCACATAGATCTTTCGACTGTAAAATTAGACTCCTACCTGGTACTATGCCTCCGAGGGGTACGGTATATCCTTTATCCACTAAGGAAAACTTAGTCCTAGAGGAGTACATACGTGAAAACCTAGACAAAGGTTTTATTAGGAGATCATCTTCTCCGGCCGGGGCCGGTTTCTTTTTTGTAGATAAAAAGACGGCACTCTACGGCCTTGCATTGATTATCGGGGCTTGAATAAGATAACTGTTAGAAATGCTTATCCTATTCCTTTAATTACTGAGCTCTTTGATCGACTGAAAGGCTCCAAGATTTTTACCAAGTTAGATTTGAGGGGAGTTTATAACTTGGTGAGAATTCAGCAGGGAGACGAATGGAAAACAGCTTTCAATACCCGTTATGGCCACTATGAATACACGGTAATGCCCTTCGGGCTTTGCAATGCACCTGCAGTATTCCAGGACCTTATTAATGAGGTTCTTAGGGAATTTCAGCATGAATGCGTTATAGTATATTTGGATGATATACTAATACACTCCAGAGAGATTGAGACTCACCACAGACAAGTCAGAAGGGTACTGCGCAAACTGTTACAACATGGATTGTACTGCAAATTGGAAAAGTGTAGCTTCGACCAATCTCAGATAAACTTTCTTGGCTACGTTATTTCTGGAGACGGATTTAGGATGGACCCCATTAAACTCCAATCGATTTTAGATTGGCCATTGCCCAGGGGACTCAAGGCCATTCAGAGATTTATCGGATTTTCCAATTATTATAGGCGCTTCATTAAAGGTTACTCTTCTATTATTGCTCCTATTACTAATATGACTAAACAGGGGGCTGATACCAAGACTTGGTCCACAGAGGCTCTCTCTGCTTTCAAAACTCTCAAGGAACATTTTGCCTCAGCACCGATATTAGTTCATCCTGACACATCTTTGCCTTTTTTACTCGAGGTTGACGCCTCGGAGACAGGTATAGGCGCTATCTTGTCCCAAAGGCTAGGTTTGGATAAACCGTTACATCCTTGTGGTTTTTTTTCCAAGAAATTATCTGGGCCTGAAAGTAGATATGACATTGGTGATAGGGAACTGTTAGCGGTCATTATGGCTTTAAAGGAATGGAGACATTTGTTGGAGGGGACATTATACCCGGTTACTATTTTGACTGATCACAAGAATTTGTCCTACATAGGGGAGGCCAAGCGCTTGTCCGCCAGGCAAGCTCGTTGGTCCTTGTTTCTGACACATTTCAATTACGTGCTCACTTATAGACCTGGTTCTAAGAACTCTAAGGCAGATGCATTGTCCCGTCAACATGAACCCTCTACGGTGTCTGAAGCAGCTTTGTCTTCTATCGTTCCTAAGTGTAATATTATTGCCAACACTTGTGTCAGGATACACTCGCCATTGCTTGCTGAGATCAAGAAAGTACAACATCTAGCTCCCAAACCTGTTCCTGGGGATCGATACTTCGTTCCTCCTGAGCTCCAAGTGGAACTGCTGCATTGCTTTCATGACAGTAAAATTGCTGGGCACCCCGGCACACGCAAAACGTGTTCCCTGATTTCTAAAGATTTCTGGTGGCCTTCCCTTCATAAGGATATAAGGGATTTCGTCAGGGCATGTGCTGTCTGTATGAAGACTAAGCAACCTCACGCGCTCCCTTGTGGACTTTTGCATCCCTTAGAAATTCCCGAGAGACCATGGTCGTGTTTGGCTATGGATTTCATTGTCGATTTGCCTGTTTCTAAAAAACATACTGTTATTCTCACGGTGATTGACAGGTTTACTAAAATGGCTCATTTCGTGCCCTTGCCTAAACTGCCCTCGTCTCCCGAATTAGCTGAGATATTCGCGAGGGAGATTTTTCGTCTACATGGTATTCCCTCTGAAATTGTTTCTGATAGAGGTTCCCAATTTGTTTCCCGCTTTTGGAAGTCTTTCTGTTCTCACTTAGGCATCAAGTTGAACTTCTCCTCTGCCTATCATCCCCAGTCCAACGGAGCTGCCGAACGCACCAACCAAAAGATTGAACAATATTTGCGTTGTTTTGTTTCTGAACACCAGGACGATTGGGTTGGTCTGATTCCTTGGGCAGAGTTTGCACACAACAATCTCGTTTGTGATTCTACTCGTTCTAGCCCCTTTTTCTTGAATTATGGCTTTCATCCTTCCATTCTTCCGTCGGTTTCCCCTTCCCAAGGGGTTCCGTCGGTTGATGTTCATGTCGCCAATCTGAGAAAGTTGTGGGATCAGACTCGACGAATTCTTCTTCAGAATTCCATGGTGTTCAAACGACACGCTGACAAACGGAGACGGGTGGCTCCGGATTTTGCCCCGGGTGATAGGGTGTGGTTGAGTACCAGAAACATCCGCTTGAAGGTTCCTTCCATGAAATTTGCCCCTCGTTACATAGGCCCTTACAAGGTTCTGTGTCGGATTAACCCGGTTGCATATCGTCTTGCCCTTCCGCCTGCCCTGCGCATCCCTAACTCTTTTCATGTTTCTTTATTGAAGCCTTTGGTTTGCAACAGATTTTCCTCCCCTGAGTCCTCCCCTCTCGCTGTCCAGGTTGAGGGTCAGGAGGAATATGAAATCAAATCCATTCTCGACTCTCGTATTTCTCGGGGGAAGTTGCAATATCTTGTTGACTGGAAGGGGTATGGGCCTGAAGAGAGGTCTTGGGTGGTCCATGAAAATGTGCATGCCCCTCGTCTCCTCCGGGCATTTCATGCTCGTTTTCCGTCCCGCCCCGGTTCCTTCCGCCCGGTGGGCGTTTCTGAGAGGGGGGGTACTGTCAGGGTACCTTTGGGGTCTACCTCGGAGGAGGTTAGACACCTAGACGTCCATCCTCCCAGGGGGGCTGACTCACCCGATCCTTGCACTCCTCCCGGTCGTTTACACGCCGGCCGCGATAGCTCTGCCTCCTTTTATGACGCGGCGCTCAGTAGCCGACGTCATGACGGCAATCACGTTCCGACCCGTCAATCACGGCAACCAAGTGCCGAACAACCAATCAGGACCCGTTGGGGGCGGAGCCAACAGTTAAAAAGCCAAGGTATAAAAAAGGGTTCTGTGGAATGATTCATTGCCCTGTCGTGGTTCTAGCTAGTCTGGTCACTCAGTGCACTTACCTCTATTGTCTTTTGGTTCCTGTCTCGGCTTGTATTTTGACCCTGCTTTCCTCTCTTGTCCTTTTGACTCGGCTTGTCTCTCGCTTACCTGATCTCTCGTTCCCTCGACCTCGGCTTGTCTCTGACTATTCTTTTGCTTTCTCCTTACGTTAGTCCGGCCATTCTAAGGTCCGGTATACGTACCTATCCCCTGTTTGTATTCTGCGTGTTGGATCCCTGTCACGATCCTGACACCAGGACTACTTAAAATATATTATTTTCTTTATCAAAGCAACTACTTTTCAATATAGGAGATATATATTCTGTGGTAGTATCCACAGAATACTGCTAAATATTTAGGTGCATTGCATGTCTTTGCATATACAGTACATCTTATGCTGATACTTCTATCCCTCACCCTTGCTGTACAAGCTTCATTTTTTCAAGGGTCTCATCTTTACTCAGGTAATTAGGTTTCTCCATTCTCTTGAGAGAGTATCACTATGGTTTATGTCTTATTTGAGAGTTGAAAATATAAAATACACAACCTAA